ATAGGTTCTAGAATACGGATAAACATACTATTTTTTTTAATTCTCTACCGCACCTCAAATATCTTAAGTCAACCACATTCATTTTTATATTTCCCTAGGAAATTCTCAAGCGCTTACCCACAGTCCAAATGGCCAACAAAGTATTTATAGTCATTGAGTATAAAGACTGTCACTGTTCACTGAATTTTAAGACAAAATTGTCTTGTATAAATGGCATTCTTCGTGGCAAACGTGCACAAGAATTATTGCTTCACGTCCTGTTTGATGAATTCAGGCATACGTACAACCCACCGGCATAACAAGATCCATCCTCCTACTTATGTTTACGAATAAATCCATTAAATTTGATGAGATATGTGAAACTTCGCGGTTCTCAACATAATGGACAGAAAATCGCAAAGTTAAGACGCAGTTGACAGTCGGGGGATTTTAAACTTTGTAGTTTAGTTGTAAGGTGTAAATTGAAGTGACGATAAGAACATTAACACGTGTAGTAATAAATTAAACTGTGAGATGAGTTGTTATATTATTTTAGAAAAGCAAACGGAATAGGATGAATATACAACAGATATTTAAAGTTTGCAAAACAAATAATTTGTAAGGATTAGAAGGGGATTTGGCACCGGTTTGTAAACTGGGATGTAGTTCGTAATTTTAGATATTTCATGCTCAAACACTGACGCCTTTTTGTCTATAGTAACAGATATTGAACAGAATATTGTTGCATGTCAAATCTGCTTATTAACAATAAACATTTTTTCAACACATGACAGATTCGTCACTAATATTTTGAAATCTACTTAATAAGTGCCGAGACGTTCATTGAAATCTGTATCTACCCAATTTGCTTCTTTACTCGGTGATACATAACAGCAACTAATTAGGGTCACCACAGTTCACCGAAAATAGTTTGTTGGCAATGCACGGACAACATTTCAGCTAATTTATTGTCATTTGAAGTAAGTTTATGACTTCACTTTTCCATTAGACTGTAGACTGTTTAATAACCGTAGGCGACAATTTGTTCTACAGATCGTACTTTGATTGATACCAAGATAGACCATCGCAGTGCATACGTACAAGCTAAAAAACGTTGATAGAAGGATCAGAGTAAAAGTTATTATTATCTGAAAACACGGAAATTACCAAGAAATCTTCTTGAAAACTCATACTAAACATCGGGGAAGTTGTTCAAAACTTCGCAATTAATACCTTCATTTAGCAGCAGCAACAATCGTGTTGGTGACAGAAAAGCTCATGCGTCATATCTCATACAAGCCGCACGGGTTTGTTTGTGTGAACTGTTGGATATATCCGTACTTCTTAGCGCATAAATCAACAGTGCCTCAGGCAGCTTATTAATATTTGCGAGTGCAATAGAGAGTCTAGATGTGCCGTGGGCGTAGTTAATGTTTGGTGTAATTAGTTGTGCGGGTGTTGACATGCAGTTAAGTGGCTTCTTACTCAATTATATAACACCCACGGTTTGTTATCTTTTGGTCAAAATGGATGATAATTTATTGGCATTTATGAGAAACAGGAAAACCGTCTCTCAACTGTCAACTCTCATCATCATCGTCATCAACAGCTCTTAATAGTCTACTGCTGGACATAGGCCTCTCCTTAGCAAGCAGGTCTTGGTCTACTATACCATGCTGGCCAGACGGGTTGTTAAAGGTTTTGTGTCAAGTTTTCCTTCTCTTTGCAGTGCTGTTGTCCTGCGTAGTTTGGTCCCTCAGTCGACTCTTACAACACCCACTGGATGAATAGGGGTGGTGACACTCGGTATTCTTAATCCATCACCACGAACACCTTTATCCCCGTCTTTATCCAGAATGGCTTAGTCGACTATTATATTACTCTCACTTGAGTAATTAATGGCAAATCTATTATACTATAAATACTTTCATATATTTACATATTATAGATAAATTACACCCAGACACAGAACAAAAGATCGTACTTATAACACGATATTTGTCCTGGATGGCAATCGAATCCACGACCTAAACAAGATCACTAACCACTGGAGCAACAGGTCAGTCACTTCACAACTTTGAAAGTTTCGTGTCAGAATTTCATGAAGTTTTGCGAAACTAATAAAAAATCAAACATCAAAATCAGAAAAAATTAAAAAAAAAAAAAGAAAAAAAAAAAAAAACATCAGAAAGCATTGAAGAAATTGGGCAAAGCGCTTTTGAGATTAAGGTATAAATTAAAATTTATGTGAAATTGTTTTCTTCTTTCTAGTTTTATATAACATTTATAAACTAATTTAAAAAAAGTTTTTTTATGAATTTTTATTCAATAAAGTATGGGGAGGAACAAGCAAATATATAACCCAAGATATCAACAATCCAAAAAGTACTTGTCTTGTTATTTTGTGAAACGTGATGGTTAGCAATATGTGTAACTGTTTTCAAATTCAGTCTATGAGAACATTCTATTAAGGTCCTTTTTTAATTGAAAACCCAGCCTATCTAGTCTATCACAACACTAATTGAAGTCGTTCTTGTCTTGAGTATGAAACAAGAAACATCAACTTAATCTGTTTCGACTGTACGACAAGTATTTGTTATAGTCCTGCAAAACCAATTTTCTTTTATTAAAAACTCGTTCACAAAGATTGAAAATATTTAAGGCGAAAATTGAAGTCATTATGAAACTTTGGCTTTATCTTGGAACAATGTAGGAAAGTGTAGCTTTTTAACATTAAAATCGACCAAAATGACGTCTTTTTCTGATATCTAGTTAAAAGTTTGAGTTCGGAGTACAAATGATAATAATAATAATAACTTGACACATCTCACAGACGGCCGTCTGGTCCCAAACTAGATAGAGCCTTAACTCTGTTAACCAGACTTCTGATAAACATACTTAATTATTTCTAAATAAAAACATATTTATTGAAAATTTAGCAAAGCATGGTTTTTAATACTGTCATCCAATTTATTCAACAACTCATCAACTGGCTATTTTATGTACAGAAGTAACTAAAACAGAGCCTGATACTGCGCCTGATACCAGCCGTCGTGGTGGTTTCTAGCTGAAACACCACTTACTCCTGGCTCCTGCGTCCCCGAGGAGCCGGCGATCCTTAGGGATTTCCCACCCCGTCACCAAAAAAAAGTGCAGAAAACGCATAATTAAATAATTATAAACACAGTCATTTAAAACCGGTCATTTTATTCTTCCTGCATTTAAATATGTTTAGCTATTGGATGAATTCTCGAGATAATAAAAATAGATACGAATAGTAATCCTTTACATAAAGTGGAGTCCGTGTTTAACTCCCTTTAACTTAGTTTAAGGTAGCAACGACATAATATACATAATAAATATGACGCACTATCAGAAAGATCTAGTAATTTATTTGGAGAACTTAATAATACCTCGGCAAGCAATATTATACCGTGACAAAAGCTTCGCCTTTGTGTAAACGTAATAAAGATAAAATTTAAGAGGGTTTTCGTTAGAAATTACTTTGGAACGGATAGTTTATATGAATTGAATGGACAACAAAGAGGATATGGGGCTAAACATATGGTTGGAAAGGGGCCTGATTGCATGTGTGATGGCCGATATATTTTGTTATGCTTAACTTATTGACGACTGTCTACGTTGGCTTCTAAATAGTACTTGTCATTATGCGTTACGTCATCGTCAGTGTAACCAGACTGCTGATAAATATACTTAAATACATACATATTATAATTAAATTAAATCCAGACGCAGAACAAATGATTTTGCTTATCACGCAATAATTTGTCATGGGTGGGATCGAACCCACGACCTCTGTCCCTAACCACCAGACCAATAGGCCCGTCAAAATATCGATTAGTAAATTAATTGTCTTCTCACAAACTCTGTACTTCTAAGAAAGGTTGTGGTTTTAAGACTGCGCTTTTTTGTATTTCTAGGTAATAAGTAAAATAAACAAAACATTTTCTTAAAAATTTATTTATTTTTCATTTTATTGTGCTCTTCAATATTTATTAAACGGACACTTTGCCCACAAAATTTTTAATTACATAAGTGTTGCAACTCTTGATATTATACAAAAAAAGAAACAATTAAAGTGTAATAAAAAATAAATAGTCATTACTTAAATTAAATATAACATTCAAACAAGAAACAACATTTTTGACGACAGAATAATATTCTGTGTTTACGAATAAATGTAATGTTTGTTTTTACGACAAAAAAGAAACGCTCAAGTGTAATAGAACTGAATGAAAGATAAAATAAAATTGATCTTAAACAAAAGAGCGGAGTTTGAATACTTGTAGAGCAGTAAAAATAAATCGACGGATAGGAATCCGATACATTAACTTTAGCACCAAATTACAAAATGGGACACTACAAGTTGTTGAAAGGAAATCTGTGTGTTATCCGAATGAAAAGTGGAACCTTTAATATGATATGATTATAAAATTCAACTTACTATTCTTAAATAATTAATTTAACTACAATTTTGTACATTATCTACAAATTCAGAAATTCATTTACATCATTCTCCTCGTAGTTTTTACAAAGATCAATCTTTAACTTGATAGGTTCACAATTATTGTGATAATTTAAGGACTAGTTCGAAACTTACTAGGACGAAACCGCTATCGCTACCTAAATTATGGTCACATAAATTTTGTACAAAACCATCATCACTATATCAGCTAATAAAAATAACATTTTCATCAAAATATCGTACCGCTAAAATCTAAAGGGACTTTCTACTAAGCAATAAATTTTGTACAATTGTGTAGAAAAGTAGTCCCAGAAACGATTAAAGTTCATAAATATTGGACAGTAACTAATATTCAACAATTAAGTTTACTGTCTCGGAAGGCATAGAGAATCGAGGCCACTGAGTAAGTTAGGCCGTGAGAGATAAAGTAAAACTATTAAATGCAAAATTGATTACATTAAATGTGATTTTTCACTTCACAACATCACTGAAACAGTTATGGCAAGACCGTCACATCAAACCAAGCAGTGTCCGTTCATGACATTGGTATTTCAGCAGACAATCGATGTCTGGAAGATGCCCTCGTACCACAGGTCCCGCAGGTATTATTGCTATACCCAGAATCTGATCCAAATGATGAATCTCCACTCGGAGGCTTTGGTGAAGCTCTTGGTCCTCTCCAACAGGCAATTCCTGGTAATTCCCCTCCGGGCCAAGCTCCGCCAGCACTCATTGGTAGAGGACCTTGAGGTCTAGCGCCAACAGTGCCGACTTGAGGATACAATCTTAAAAGAGCATCCAAAAGAACGCCTTCATGGAATTCCGTCGGGTCTGGCGGCCCCGGCGGATGGATATGCCGCTGCATTCTGTGTTGATGTTGAGCTCGTCGTCTTTCCAATGACTTAGGTCTTCTATCCATTCGCTGGTGCCGTGGCCGGTGAGGGAGAGACTGAGGAGCTGGAGGACGAGAACAGGTTCGACAAGGGGCCGCTTCTCCAACAAGGCTTAATTCGTCTTCAGCGAAATGATCGTCGCTGTGAAGGGAGTCGTCTGATCTGTGAGGCAATTCTTCGTAAAGAGGAGCACCGCAGGTATCTCCCCCACAGGAGTTGCCGCCTCGCCAAGTGCCGCCTGAGCCGCATACGAAGACACGATTAGGGCAATTCGGCCTTTTAGTTTCCACCATCTGTAAAAAAATAACATGTTTTGATAAATCTTGTAATTTTAGCATAGTGTTTATTTTTCTGGACACTTGACTCTGCGCAAGAATTTTCGTCTACTCTCTGACATTTAATTAATGAGAATGGTTGGTACTGTTCAGAAGTTAGTCCACAATATGATATGATATTTCCTCAAAAAAAAATCTTCAAGAAGAATATAAGACATGAAAACATTCATATTCCTTGATTGACACAAAGGAGACATTGAAGTAAATAAAAAACAAAGAATATGAGCCTGCCAAATGAACCCCACCAAACTGACAAGATATTTTATTTCATTACTTTCTATATCAATAGAAGCATCTATTAGATTAACTTTGAAGGTCGCACAGGGTCTCTTAAACCCTCGTCTATGTACGTGCGTGTCTGACAATTTACGGTCTAAGAATTCCCAGACCTGGGGTCTGTTAGACAAGAATTTCTAGAAGTAATGCTTGAAAACGTGATGTAATTTGCTAATGATATCATTGGAGTGTTTTTTTTTTTGCTTTCTTAAGTAGGTTATCGTGAAAATTATTGTAAAGCGGCAATTGTGTCGTAAATACCAAAGCTTTTCACAACCTAATCTATACTAATATTATAAAGCTGAAGAGTTTGTTTGTTTGTTTGTTTGTTTGAACGCGCTAATCTCAGGAACTACTGGTCCGATTTGAAAAATTCTTTCAGTGTTAGATAGCCCATTTATCGAGGAAGGGTATAGGCTATATATCATCACGCTAAGACCAATAGGAGCGGAGCACCAATGAAGAATGTTTCAAAAACGCAGAAAATTGATTACTATTGAGAGACGCAGACGAAGTTGCGCGGGTCAGCTAGTCTTTGATAAAGATCGTATTCCTGATTAGTAATTCTTTTTGGTTAATTTAGTTTTGTGTATTATATCATCTCTCAAGAGTAATTTTATAGTTTATATTCTTTATCTGAACCTGAGCGGTAATCTGAAGTCTCTTCCAATTACTTTTCTTAATTAGAACTGAATAATTTAAGATTAAGTCTACTAGGTGGTTTAGACGCAATCTTAAAATATGCAATATAATAATTTACAATACTCTCCAAGGTATTATAAAATTTGTTAAGTCTTTTAAGGAACTTTAACTTAAGTTGTTGTAGCAGAGTAAGAGTGGGGAATGTCTAGTGTACCATTTCAATTAGCAACAATAACTTAATTCGAGTTATTTCACTTATTCTCTAACTCTTCAAATAAATAAAGAAGTTTTAAATTCTGAAGTTAAAAGGCTCTGTTTCTTATCTTTATTATGTATTGAATATTATGTTGGTATCTGATTTTGGAATTTTAAATTTTCATCTCTTTTAAGCGTTATATCATCATTTTAGATAGTTCTAAAGAGTAATCACAGTAAATAGTGGTTCATCATCATCATCAACAGCCTTTAACAGTCCACTGCTGGATATAGGCCTCTCCTTAGAAAAGAGGTTTTGGTCTACTATACAACTCTGGCCAGACGGGTTGATATGGGGTTTGTTTCAAGTTTTCCTTCTTTTTGTAGTGCACTAAGTGGGCTCTTACGACATCCACGGGATGAAAAGGGGTGGTGACACTCTATATTCTTAATCCGTCACCACACGGAAAATCTTTATTATGTGATTATTATTTTGGAATTTTAAATTTTCATCTTTTAAACGTTATATCATCATCTTGGATAGTTCTAAAGAGTAGTCACAGTAAATAGTGGTTGTTAAAACTAAACATAATATAAAATAATACATAGAATGTTTTTATAAAGAAGCTTGCTAAGACCAAATAGTCCAAAGCCGAATATAAAGAAAACGAGCGTTATAAATCTATTTATATCAATTTTATTGCGGTGGATTTTTAATTTATGATCACAGGAGATCCTGTACATTGAAAAAAAGCAATAAAATTAATCAACTGGTTTATAAAACCAAAATAACTTGAAGTGTAAAGATATTTCTTATGCTATTATAAAATTTTAAACGCTATTGACTGTTTACAATACTATTCTTGTTTGAATAAAAAGGATCAATAGAGCATTAACGCCTAAGTCAGATTCTAGAAAAAAATAGCACTAGTATTGACCCGATACATACCTCCAATTGTGGTTCCAACTCAGGTCTATGAGGCAATGGTGGTCTCCGAGGCAGATCTTGCAGGTCTTCGTATAATGGAGCTGGCGGAGGAGCACGCCTTGTAGAACCGCTCCCTTGAGTGGGAGCTGAGGATTTCGATGGTAGAAGGTTGGTGACTTTTCGTTTGTGTCTAGAGATAGAAAAGTTAATCTGTTAGCATATTAAATCAAAGTTTCAATAACAAGAAAACACAGTGACGGAAAAACTATAAAATAAAACGACGACGAAAATGATTTTCAAGCGATCGGTGTCTCCAAATTGTCGGTGAGAACATGTGTATTTTTTTACTACATACCCTCGTACAAGAAACAATATATTTACTGTATAAACTTATTACAAAGTTTTGTTAATAACAACGTCTGACTGTTGTATAACTTGGAATCTGTAAGTTAATAGGGCTTCAAAATATACTAACCTAAGTCAGCATAAGCAGGCGTACTTTAAATACATGATGTGATTTTAGTGATTCCCCTCCCTTTTCCCCCTAGCAAGATTTCACAAGATTCGACTCGGTACCCTCACTATTTCCTCGTGCGTGTTTTTAGTGTAAATTAGTATCTTACATAGTATATGTTGGATTTAGTTAAACGAGATTAGCTTCATCAATCCCCATAACCTGTCACGTAATTAGTGGATGCCTCTTTGTTTAACACCAAAACCAGTAACAATTTTCTCCATCCGGTACAAGTGCTTAAGACTCTTCGAGTAGCTCATTCAACCATTACACCCAACTTATTGTACTTCAGACTTTTATTAATAGAGATCTTACGATACGATTCACAATAAAACCCAAGGCGTGGTCACATATTATTATTATCATAATAGATAATCTCGTTTATGGTGAATAATATGTAAGTATAGAATTGGGCCCGCCAACAATTTCATGTTATTAATGACGAAATTTTTTGATAAAAGTATAATGGAGATTTTAGAAAAAAATTGCTAACACACACATTCACGTATGATCAATATCCTTGCCAATTTTTTGCATCAGTAATTGTATAATTGTATTAAAATTATTGGTTTTCCATCATTTTCAATACTTTAGTTTGCTAGAAGTCACATAAATTCAACAAATATAGCTGTATACTATACTACTATTAATGTAAGGTTTGCCGCAATTACTTGAGAGGGGCTGGAATATAGTCGTCGAAATGTGGGCATATAACACGCTTCTGTCTACCCCTCTATGGATAAAAATATGATAAAATATGTACTTATATATATATTCACAAAATTTTGTATATTACACCTATCTTTCATATTAAAAAAACGGCGTGATGTCCATCAGCCCCGGTCGGAACGGAGTTACTTTAGCCTTTTTTTTAAAAAATCTTGTTACACATTTCACGGTTTCACTCCCATCCGCCTGTAACGCCCGATAAGGAATTTAGTTCCAAAAAATATTGTTCCCGTAAGATACATGACTTGATTGACATAACCTACAATAACGTGAGAACAACCGCGTGCAAAAGCTAGTCTAAATTTATTTACTAAAATATCAGAGAAAGAAAGCAAAGGAATAATTTGCTGTATATTTTACTTACTACGAGATACACAAGAGGAATTATAATACGGGACTAATATTTGTACCTGTGACTACCCTTTCCCTGCCTACTTCTTCTATTTGTTCGGAATTTAGTGATGTAGAACAGATATAAGCAAATCCCCATCACTGATCATTTCATAATCTATCATAATAATATCGCAAAACATAAATTGCATAGAGCATTGCACTCGATTTGGATCATCAACTCATTAAGTTCAATTAATTCGCCACATCCTTTCCAAAAATTAGTTCCACTCTATAGAACTACACAGTTCAATTATGAAGAAAAGAGCTTATTATAAGCGCATTAGACACGGTAACTTCATTTCCCAAAGCAGATGTTCCAATATTTGTTCATATTCGTACCAGTTTGGCAATATACGAGTCGGGTTCCGTATTAATTATCCACGATGGATTTATACCATTAGGATAGAAAACAAGTACTCCACTTGACTGAAAGGTGACTATAAAAAAATACTCCATTAGATATTAGATTTTATAGAAATTGCCAATCGACAAAAATTGGTGTTACTAACATATATTTAATTTGAACAGCCACTACCATTTTATTTGGCAATTTGTTTACTATTAACTTATAAAAAACAATTAATCTTATATGTGGGTACTTAACAAATAGTGAGATGTAAAGCTAAATTATGTATTAAAAAGGCAATTTATATTTTATGTTGTTTGTGTTTAGTAATGAAATAAATTAATTTAAAAGCAATTTAACTTGTATTAGAACTAACCGTTTGGAATGTAAATTAATACTAACTGTAAACTTTAGTTAGGAGTTTCATTGTTAGATAGCTATCTGTATCGTTCTCCCAACGGTCGCCAGGGTTTTCAACGCACATATAAAACACTTAAATTTAATTATACTAGATCTAGACAGTAAATAGAGATAATGTTAGCGTGTCTGTAAGTTGAATAGCTTAAAGACCCTGTCGTTCTAGTAACTTGAATCTCAACGCTTTATTTCTGTCTTTCTCATTATCTTTAATTCTGCAAAGGCGAGGACTATTTTAGCATAAGGATACATTCTGATGACGGGCGATGAGAACCTATTTTGATAAAGCCATTCATTTTGTTCGATTCGTCCACATGTCGGCAGGTTTAAGGGTTTAAGTGATTGATCTGCAATACCTATATTCCCCTATAAATAACAATACGGGACATGAATTCAACATAACTACGTATGTAGTCTCTTGTTTACGAGGCGTCTAATTTTCCACTTGAATAATTAAAAGAGAAATAAATATCAAAATTCCCTCTGCGTTTATACCTCGTAATAGATTATAACAACCATATATTTGTTTTCTTATGAGCATATTTAATAATGTGCAATAAATACACTCAAACGAGTGACACAATGAATTATTGCAATAAAACCAAAAGCGATTTTTCATTTTATAATGGACCTCTAATTCAGGTAGCGATACACAAGCATTATAATTCCATTGTATTTAGAAGCCACTAATAGCAGGGCAGTTATGATTGATATAATTGAGGGGCACTTTCAAACTTAATAAAGATGTTCTCATAAAAACTGCATAAGATTTTGATGGTCCTTTTGCGGTTATTAATCTTATGGTCTGTTAAAAGATTTTGGTATTAATAATAGAATATGTTTTTTTTTGTATTAATATAAAATATTGAAATGCGACTTTTAAAGCACACTCTTAATTATAAATGACAACCAAGCAATGACGGCACGGATGGCGTAGTGGTTTAAGCATACCTTGCCGTTTCCTACTGCGCTGAGTGTTGTTGGGTCGATCCCCACATGGGACAATACTTTGTGTGATCCACAAATTGTTGTTCTGAGTCTGGGTGTCGTTTGTGTTCGTTTTATGTATTTTTGTAAATTCTCCTGCGACACAGGATATATTCCTAGTGCGGGAGTTGTCAAAAAACAAAAAGAATGAGTCACCTGCAGTTTAATATAACCACTTACGGTAATTGATTACCGTAAGTGGTTATATTAAACTGCAACTCCCCATCTCATCTTCTCCATCCAGTGATTGCCGGGAAGAGATCGCAAATCGCGATAAGACCGCCAATTGTACAACTTTTTTTTTCATGTATTTAGTTTTTACTTTCTTAGTGTAACTGTCCTTAGATCATAAGACTCATATAAACGGTACTATTATTAAGACTTGTACAATAAAAGAATAAAAATATATACCAAAATGATAAAATATGCCTTTTAAGCGAGTGAGCGGGCAGAACAAGTATTTTTTTTTATTTTCGAATTACTTGTTGTCCATAGATCGTAAACAATTTTACATTTACACTTTATTTACACATACTTGTTTAAGTGTAAATAAAAAAATACACACACGTTATGAACGTAGTAAACTTGGAAATTCGAAATTCAAGCAATAAACCTTATAATCCGTAAAACCGTTGTGTGACAACAAATGGCGTCAGTTGCACGAACATGCGACATGTCGGTGCGACAAAGCGAGGCGACGTCCAACACTCGACAAGGCTGCCGCGACCACCCGCAGATGAGACCTTATGGATAGTATGGGAAATGTGAATTGGTAACCGAAGGCTAAATATGTATGTTTATCATATACACTGTATTTAAGAAAACACTGTTTGGTGTCAAGAAAATAAATGACATTGACTGCACTGATGGCGTAGTGGTTTAAGCGGTCGCCACGACGCTTCCTAGTGAGCCGAGTGTTGTGGGTTCAAACCCCACAGTGGACGACACTTTGTGTGATTCACAAATTGTTGTTTTGAGTCTGGGTGTTCTTTGTGTCCGTTTCATGTATGTGTGTAAAGTCCTCCGCGACACAAGATATATTCCTGATGCGGGAGTTGTCAAAAAAGCAAAAAGAATGTGTCACCTGATCGTAATTGATTCTATTAAATTGCAACTCCTTATATCCTTTTTGATCCAGTGATTGACTGGAAGAGATCGCAAATCGCGATAAGGCCGCCAAATGTAAAACTGTTGCTATTTTTATTACCATAATGTAACTTATTTTTTGTAGTGTAACACAATTAAATTACCAAATTTCTTTATACAATACATTTGGTGGTTTTATACATTGTAATATGGCATACTTGTGTGATACAAGCAAAGCAAATACATGCATACAACAAGAACAGGCTGCTGCTTTGCATACGCTGTATATCTATCTACCTTATTATACTTTAGCTTAATAGTGCCACTTACTATTTAAACCCTATAAAACAATAGCAAGAAAAATATCACTATGTAACCAACAGGCCAATGCAAGACACTCCGACTACAACACCACCAACATAATCCACATCATATACCTTATCTCCTATCTCATTTTTAAGAGATAAAAGTCTTCTAGCTTCCTAATCGTATTAATCCATAGTAATCTCTGTGACTATCAAGTTAAAGCCGGAAATCCAATGAGCAATAACTATGACATACGACGTAAACAATAGTGATGTGAATAAAAACTTTCTGTCTTCAGTCGATAAAGTTAATAAGATAAATCAACTTAATAGTATAAGACAGTTGCTAGAAAATCAAATACGTAATTTGATTTCGTGTCGCGATTCGATCGATATCGATAAACGAAATATAA